ATGGTGGCCAGCAGGAGCAGGGCAGTGATTGTCCCCCTGTACTCAGCACTGATGAGGGTACCCCTATAATACTGTGTTCAGTTTTGGGCCCCTCACTACAAGAAAGATGTTGCGTTGCTGGAACAGGTCCAGAGAAGGGCAACAAAGCTGGTGAGGGGTCTGGAGCCCAAGTCTGATGAGGAGCGGCTGAGGGAACTGGGGTTGTTTGGCCTGGAGAAGAGGAGGCTGAGGGGAGACCTTATCACTCTCTACAACTGCTGAACAGGAGGCTGTAGGGAGGTGGGGATTGGTCTCTTCTCCCAGATAACAGGCAATAGGACGAGGGGAAATGGCCTCAAGTTGCACCAGGGCAGGTTTAGATTGGGTATTAGGAACAATTTCTTTACTGAAAGGGTTGTCAAGCACTGGAATGGGCTGCCCAGGGAAGTGGTCGAGTCCCCATCCCTGGAGGTATTTAAAAGATGGGCAGACAAGGTGCTTAGGGACATGGTTTAGTGGTGGGATGGCAGGGTTAGGTTAATGGTTGGACTTAGTGATCTTAAAGGTCTTTTCCAACTTAAACAATTCTATGATTCTGTGATCATTTTTAGCAGCCCATTAGAGTAGAGCCGCAGGGAGACCAGCACCAGCCACAGCTTAGCTCCAATGCTGTGTGGTGCAGCCACGTCCCCCTCTGCCACCCCTGCCACTTTGGGGATGGAGACATCGTCTGGTGCTTGCAGGGCGGCACATTCGGTGGCTGCCGACCCCCCCCCCCCCCCCCACTGCAGCGGTGCTACGTGACACCGGGGATCAGTGGGCTTCAGGGGACAACCTGAACGCAGGGTTTGGTGACAGCTGGCCGAGGACGCGGGGGCTCACCAGCCTCAACGGTGGAGACGGCTTTGAGAAAGGCTGACAAGGAAAAGCTGCGGGGGCGGGAAGGCCGTAAGTGCCACAGCACTGTCCCAGGGGACCGGAGGCGCGTGTGAGACAGGTCTGGTCCCAGAATCGTAGTGCAAACCCCAGTATGATTTTGGAGAACAGGACTAAACCAAGCTGCACTGCGGCTGCCGGGTCAGCACCCATGCTTCAAGCTTTGCCTGGTGGAGTCTGAACCAACCCAGTCCACGCCCCTCACTGGGATTTCTGGGCGTGCCAGGAGCCCGTGTCACACTGCCGGGGGCCTGCTGTCCCCTCTTATGCTCCAGGAGCTTCACCATGCCCCTCCCTCGGGGCACCCATGGCCACTGCAGCAGCTGGGGAAGGGCTTTGCATGGGGCCCCAGGTGGGGACTTCTTCCTCAGGAGACTGGAGGACTCTCTCATCAGGAGTCTGGGGGCGATGATGAACTATGCCGGTAACGCAAAATCAGGGAGATGAGGAGGAGCAACACTGACAGAGGCCGCAAGCAAATGATCAGCAATCAGGTCCATTTGAACAAAATGCACCCAGATGTCCTCAAGCGTGCGGGTGCCCTGTTGAGCAGGAGAAGGGCAGGACATGCTGGCAGGGCAGGGCTTGGCCTGGAGCGCGGTGCCGAGGGCTCGCCCTGCGCCTGCACCTTGCCACCACGCACGAAGGGGCAAATGCAGCCAGGGACGGAGAGCCGGGCATGGGGACTGGGGGCAATTCTCTCACTATGTGTTGGCTTGATAGATTAAGCAGTGAACAAACTGCAGCGCGGTACCCAAGGAATGTAAAAAAAGTAATAATAATTGAAGAACAAGCCTATGAATATCTGAGATCCTGGGGAAAATAAAAAACACCTTTTAGAGAGAGATTTAGACCATTCAATCCGTTTATCAACAGACCAGTTACTGCTCAGCGGCGGCACCGCGGGGAGCCAATACAGGCACTGGGGGGCTCCAATGCGGTTGATCTACCAGGGGGTGACAGTGCCCAGTGCCCGTCCTCCTGCCCTCAGAGGGGAAGGAGGGGCACAGCGAACAAGCATCACTGGGTCGCAGGTTGAGACATCCCAGCTCTCTTCCCACTTAGTGCCCAACCAGCACAGAGGGACTGGCTCTGGAATGCGACACCGCATCCCGGCTTGCTCGGGTGCTGTGATCCATGTTGAGATGCTCGTGCAGAAGCTGCTGCATCCTCAGCCCAGCACCCATCTTCCGTCCTTGATTCCCTCCACCCAGGACAGTTTGACAGTGTCCCCTGCCATCAGGCGGTGGTGTAGCAGAGGCACCGTGTCCCCACACCCTCACCTCACTAACCGACCCCCAGTCCTTATGCCCTGCTTCCCTCCTCCAGCCCCTGCTAGGGATTTGCTCCTTGCTTTTTCTGCCCGGGTTTCCTCGGCAACCTGATCCAATCTCAGTTTCAGGTATCATCTCCGTGACAGAGTTTAGCTAATCCGGCCCCCTCTGCCCTCAAACTGCTCATTCACCTCCAACCACCTCCCTGAAACCCTCACTGATCCTTCAGGCATGGACCTTCCCCACCTCTCCATCCCCCTTTCACCGCCTTTGATGAAATTTAAGCAAGAGCATCGACTCTCTTGCCAACGGGGATGGGCACGTGGTTCACTGCTTTGCTGAAGGGAAAGCCTTAATTTTTCCTTCTCACATCTGAGCCCCACCAAGGGCTGTGCTCCCCGGCACCAGTGCATTGCAGCCGCTGCTGTCCTTACACCGTGCGCAACTCCTGCATCCTCGTGGGGATTTGTTTACTCAAGACGATCTTTTTCCGAAGAATGACCCACAGACTAGAGCTTGCCTGGAGGTTTTTCATCTCCCTGGCCCTTTTTCTTGTTACAATAAAATGCACCTAAGCCAATCCCTGCACGGTGATGGTCTTAACATCTTCCAGGTCATTGTGGGTGCACGCTCCTCTTCCTTCCTTCATACAATACACATCTTACTGCTCCGTATGAGACACCCTGCTTTTCTTTTCAGCATTATGGATTCTTCTAGCGCTCTCATGGGCTATGACGGTACCAAACACGAGGGTGCGCTAGCTAAGGCAGAGGTCTCACTCATGTGAAAAACAGATGGATACTTGTATCCTCCTGAAACCCAGACCCAAAGATCTCCTATAAAACCAACTAACCAACCAAAAGCCCCGTCTCCAGAGGTCTCAGAGGGGATTTGTTGCCTTTTTGTCTATCAAAATCAAGATGCAGAAAACACCCCCAGTAGCTCTGCAGTTAACTCTCAAAAAGCCAAAGCTTTCCAAATTTCAGCTGCGTGCAGAGCTTCCCTATTTGCGCGCACGCCCAGGTACTGGGTAGGCAAGCGATGTTAAACGAGTGAGTGAAAACCTGCCCTGGAGACCAGCTAAGGGACAGCCCCAGGACGAGACTGCTGCAACTGCTTAGGGCAGATGCACGTGACGGTTCCCACCTGTCTTTCAGCTGGCTGCTTGATGGTTGAATCCTTCTCTGTCAGGACAAGGACTGAGAGGCCATTTGGTTTGGGTCAAGTGAACGTGCTGGAAGTAAAACTGCAGCAGCCGAAGAGCCCGGGTCCGTTTGTGCAGGGAGCTCTGCGCGGGCAGGGCGGCTGGCGGGACGCCAGCCTGGGGGATGACCACCCATAGGTCCCTTCAACCAGCTCTACGCAACTCAGTGGGGGACTGCCGAGATAAGAAGAAAGGGCCTTTTTTTTTTTTTTTTAAGCTTACCTTCAACTTCTCCACATACTTCCTACAAATGGTAGCAGCCCTTAAAGCAAGCACTTCAGGCTGTGCACAAAGCAAAGGCCGCGCAGGACTGTAAGGGTGACTTCGGTTCGGATGCAGCACCACCCAGCCGGGACCCCTGGGGGGTCTGATCCTGAAAAAGCTCCCAAAGATTTGGGAGCAAGTACTGCTACTGCCTGCAGTTCAGTTCTGCAGGTGGCAGAATCTGTTCAGCAGAAATCAATCCATCAATAGCTGCTTTGTGATACTAGCTGGAGCAGAGGGGAATGGGAGAAGGGAAAAAAACGGAGCGTTTGACAGCGGAGCCAACAGCTTTCCATTATCCTACAAAGCCACCGCGTGGTTTTGGTGACAAGTAATCTGAACTGCAGCCGCTCATCACCTTTGTAAGCGCTATCAGCCAGAAACCTAAAACATGACCTGTCAGTGCAAGACGATCAGCTTCCTCTCTCCCCTCCCGGAGATAAGCTCTGCCAGAGGCACAGGTTTGCCGAACAGACTCCCGCTGCCAGCATCTCCCCGTCAGCCGTACTGCCGCCGGCTGTGATCCCTCTGCAACCTGGACCAACAGGCTACAGCTCTGTCAGAGGCAACTCTGGATCTTGCAAGGGTTGGATCGTGGCACCTGCGGTAGGAGGAGATCACAGAGCAATTCCCACTGGGTCTAGCGGGTGCAGTTCCCCTGCTGCACGGGGGAGCACAGCCAGGGCAGCCCCCAGCACGGCACGGCCCCGGCCCCGCTGCTCTTTGTTAATCATCAAACTGGTTTAAGCAATTTTCTTAATAAAACACAGAGTTAGGACATTTCCCCATTAGAAAACAGAAACTTCTGCCCTTTCCCCAGTCTATAATCAAGCCTGAAGGTATAAATTGGTGTCAGAAAACTGGCCCGTGCTTGGGCAGGGGACATTGCAAACCCATGGGGGGACACCAGGACAGCTGGCAGCTCTGCATAGCTGCATTCAGCTCTTCAAACAGATCCCCCAGGAAGGAAGGGGCACTTGTCCAGTGTGCCACCACCACAGAAACGCTCTCTGGTTTGAAACATATCGTATTAAGACCACATTCAAAGTTATTCTTACCTTTCACTTATTCCAGGCAAGTCCAGGGGCTACTTCAGCTCATTTTGCCGAGCAATGTGATTCTGCAACTCTAAAAGGTGACCCGAACACCCGAACAAAGGAAACCTTGAGAAAGATTCTGTAATTAAGTATCTCGCCTTTTATTTTGTTCATTTACACTTCTGGCACCGACAATTCTTTGTAGATATTTATTTTTATGTAACTTCATTAAAGCAATCAGAACAGAAGTCAATTAAATAATTTTACATCACTTAAGTTTCCGAAAATGTACAACACTTTCATACATTATAGGCTTGACTGGTTGCAAAAGGAAGTGGCGCGTTTGACATGGTTAAGAAATGACTTGGACGACCCGACAAGTAGTTTTGCCAAAATCCGTTTTGTACCAAATACCTAACAGGCCCCCAGGGATTACTGTGTGCCTGATGGCGTCATGCGCATGTTGTCATTCAACACGGAAGTATTACTATCAATTTGGTCTCCAATAACGTCCCCAATACTCTACATAGACTTTGTCACAGAAAGATCCGGTTAAGGGTTTTGTAGGGGTGTGAGATTCACGATGGAAAGCAGAGACGTGACTTGTGCCACTTCCCAGCCGTGCCCTGGACCAGCAGGACACCGAGCGCATGGAGAACATCAAGCATATGAATAATCCTACCAATTTCATGGGGACTAATTGAAGACTTAAAATCAAACGGATGGCAGGCGTGCGCTAGGCAGGGCCTGCGGTGGACCACAGCACCCCAGCACCACGAAACCACTTCCCTTCACACCTGCAGAGGATCCATGAAGTTTCTCCTGCAGAAGTCACGATGACGGCCATAGATTCAGTCCTCTCCAAAGTCTGTGCAATGTTTAAGGCAGCAAGAGAAACTTGCCTTTATTTTAACACTCCAGAAACTGATGTTTCCTTTAGAAACAGGTGGGCATTATCCATAACTAATCAGTGCACCCCTTATTTATATAAATGCAAGGAACCAAATGTTGACAAACTGTTACCTCAACAGGACTGAGGAGTGCAACTGAAACAGAGTCGAAGCTTTATAATTACACGTGCCAGATCATTCACATGTAACACACTGTCTAGGGACAACGTGAAAAAGCGGGGATTTAGATAAACTCTGTATTCTTGAGGCCTGATGCTGGTCAAACTTCCCCTGGCTTGAGCGAGCTCTACTGAAGCCGACGAGTGAGCACCTCCGACGAGAGGCGTGAGTAAGATTAAAAACATGCCGCTGGTTCACACTAACAGGTCATTGTGGCTAAAGGATATTCTCATATACAGAACTCTGGAACACCATTAACACCCAGTTACAAAACACTACAGTGATGGTTATTGGCACATAAAAAACTCCTCCTCTATATGAAAACATACACAAAATAGATAAGAACTGCCATTTTTTTTTTTCAGACCTTTAAAATCTATATAGTTGCCTTTAAGGAGTTTTAACCCCCAGTATCACAAACAACAATATTTCTGTAACAATGTTCACCTAGATTTTACTGTGCTGACATTGGTAACACTGCCACAACCTAGACCACTTTGTGGATTATGCTTAACTGTACTGTACACAAGGCGATGAAGATCGATAGAAAACCACTAAGATTTCTGCACAAAAATGTGACTTGTTAAAATCCAGAGAACGATTGAGTCACTTATAGGCAGCAGCTACATGTAAGCTGTAAATGTTACCCGCAATAAAAACACATTTTGCCATAAAGCACATATTGTGGCATTATCTGCTTCTGGCCTGGTACACAAAGCTCAATTTTCTTCCCAATGCAGAGGAATGGGGTTTGGTTAGCTTGACTCTCTCGGAAAAAAGAGCACAAATATCTCACTCCTTAAAGTGCTTTGCAGAACTGTCTCTTCTGCCTTGATTTCTACCCAGAGATATCTCTATGCTGTGAAGACTCTGCCTCCTTCTCACACAGTGAGGTTCAGCTAACAAAGCCTCTTATGCAAGTACAAGTAAAACTTCAAGACCACGTTAGAAGAGCGTTGACGTTAAGAAGCAGAAAATTGGGTGTAAAGCTGAGAAGTACGGGGTCTCTCTTTTATTAGCCCGCTGTGCGCTTGTGGGACTGCACCCAACACCCTCATGGCTGAAGGGAAGACCCTTGCTCAGGGCCTGTAGCAGCCCCTGAAACTCAAAACTTCTCCCCAGTGCTTGACCCGAGGGGCTAAGAAGGGCAAAAGAGATCTCCCCAAGGAAAGTAGTATGAGCTTTGCAAGCTCCGTTGCCATGTTCTCACCTCCACGTGGGCACAGGAGAGGAGCACTTTTGTGCTTCTCCCCCCTCAGTCTGCCAGCCCTGTTCCCATCCAAGCACAGTCCCTTGGCCCCACCATCTTTCTCCCACACGGGAGAGAAGTCGGAGACTGCTCCTGTTGGCTATGACACCCATCTCTACGGAAACGTGACTTCATGGGGCTTTTGATGCATCGTCCCAAAATTTCTGAGAGGGCTGTCACTGCAACTCAGAAGGTAGCAAGGTCTATGAGAGCGCTCTGTCTAAGGTGCACACGTAGCAACACAACTTCAGCCCTCAAACGAGTCCTGGGGCCTTGCTTCGTTTCTATGTCTGTTTTCAAACCAGGTTTGCTTCCCTTGTTAAAAACTGATTTTGATCAACAAAGCGACAAGGGGAAGAAACAAGTGGCAAATTATCTCAACCCCCCAACTCTTCAGATTTGCAACTTGGTGAACAAACTACTGTATGTGAATAAAATTTAAAAATATTAAAAATGCATCAGAACTTGTTTCTTTTATACTGACTCCTAAACCAAAACAGGTAGAGTCGGTAGATTAATCAGAATTAAAATATCTCAAATTTTTGTGTATAATCAAGAAGTGATTCATGCCCCACTCCACCAGCAGCATCACTCTAGCATTCCTGATGCGCAGAATACCTGAATTGAGAGTGCAGTCCTTGTGAAGAAACAATTTCACATCTTCTGCAGAAAGCTTTCAATAAAACGATATTGTGCTTAGACATACTATTCATGTTACTTCATAAATTAAAATCCTGTCATAAGTAATTATTCAGCTACAGTTTATTTTTATTCTTTTATCTGGAATGTTACTAAGTCTACCTTTAGCAAAAATCTCTTAAAACTTAAAATATGCACAAATATAAAAAATCTTTGCAAAATAGAAACTTTTTATTTAATTTTCTTCATACATTATAAATTTTCACAGATTCTAAAAATAAAACCCTAATTGTGTAAGATTAATTTCAAGTATTTGATCCCATTTTATTACACATGATGCTTGGTACTAGGTTCAGTGTTTCTAAGGTATGGAATGTTATCTTGGTGTAAAGCAACCCTAAAAGGAAGACTTAAACCCAACTCTCTGCGGGCAGGGAAGGGGGAGTGACAATAAAGAAGCTGAAATATTTTGCACCCTCTTAGCCAGTAGCAATGATGAACAAAATGGATGAGTTTCAATCGTTCTGCCTCAAGAAAAAGCGCGCGGGATGCAAACCTTCAGAAAGCTGCTTTCGGTAAGATCGAACCTGTGTGAGAAAATGAGCCCAGCGCAGTACGCAGCTGAGCTCCACTTCTGAGGACATCCGTGAAACAAGGCTGGCAGAGAGGGATGCTCTGCTGCTGCTAAAAAGCCCCAGCGCTGCCTGCAAAACAAGAGAGGCTGGGCTTGTGACAGCGATCTTTCCGGTGGCCTTGCTTTGGTTACGCCCAATAAACGCAGCCGTCTCCTCTACCTGCGGACACAAGGGTGACGTGGCGCGGGGCCAGCACTGACACCGTGCCGCCGTGGTGACGCCCTCCTTGGCTGACACCCCGCTCCAGCACAACACGTCGAGCAAGGGGACGTTCACAGATGTGACGGTGAGCATGGGCTCATGCTTTTGAGGGGATCAGAACTGTAAGTCCCTTCTCAAAAGCCGGTAAATACCCACTTAACCCTATCGACCACGTGAACACAGGTTGGGCGTTACACACCTACCCACACGCTGTTCTGGGTAACGAAACTGTTCCAAATAAGGGTCTTCAAACACACACTTTTTGGTTTCAGGAAGAAATCAATTTGCCGTTAAAACTATTTTGTTGTTGTCTGTGCCAGGTACCTTTTCTCATTTCAGGTACTGCACCTTCGGTGAAGGTCTCAAAGAGGTGTCAGCCTAACGGAGACATCCTGCGGCGGGTGCATTTGTAGATAGGTCTGGAGACCCGAGCATTGTCAACAGCTGGTGCTTTCAAGCTTAAAAATATTGTGCGCTTAACGGGGAGGCAAGACGGAAGGCCTGAGAATCCAGCCCTCTCACCACACAAGCTGATACTCAAGGTTGGGCCACTCTTCACAATGATTCGTCTGAAATTCCCTCTATCCGCTATGCTTTTCCCTTTTAGTCCCACCTAAGCCACAGAAGGATGCTTTAAAATGTTTTCTTTCCAAAAATATTTCTTTGATTAATGAAGTAAAAAAGAAAATAACGCAAAATACACCCAATTGCTGAAGGTCAGCAATTGGAGAGTAATAACTCCCCCCACAGAAGATCAGATAACATAAGGGTAGATTTCTTCACAACAAAACCCCACATTATCCAATAAAAATAATTTAGTAACAAATGTCCAGTCTCAGTTTTGATAGTAATCCTAGATTCAAAATATTTTTCAACCCAAGAAAACCCACAAAGCAAATCTATAAAAGCTAATGAACCCAACAACTTCTTTAATCTTTACACAATGAAAAATAAATGTATTTTTACCAAATAAATGGGGGGCAGCCCCCAGGCAGAGGAGGCTTTCCACATTCTTTCATGAAGCAAACATTTCAAAGATAAGAATTTGAGTTGTTGATGCTTTCAAACTCGTATCTCTGAGGATTTAAAGCAGTGAGGACAGGGCAAGGAAAAAAAAACCCAAACACCATAATATTTTAATGTAGCTGCATAAAATTCTATTTGCCAAGGCGAGCAATCATGGCAGGTGAATAAAATGCCATTCATATTTTCATTACCAGGCTAAAGGCAGCCAAGCTGATTTTTGTGCCTGACATTTTCTTGACAATTTTGCAATGCTTCGGTAAGGCAATTAATATGAGATGCAGGCTTCTGCCCATTGCTAATATTTCTCTTTAGATCCAGCAAGACACTGGTTGGCTAAGGGCGTTTGAAGGAAAAATGTGCTGGGATTCATTTACTCTGCACACACGAAGTTAAACTGAAGGCAGCGTGATTATTCACAAGCAGCAGGCGCGGGAGGGATGACCACCACGCAGTTAGCAGCACAAAACCTCTCCCCTCCTTCTCTTTCTTCCAGCTAACAGCATTTTCTGTTCAAAAGTAGGCACAAACCCAAATGTTCAAATGCAAAAAAGGCAAAAAAAATAATTTTTTTTTCCAACTAACTGAAGCCTGTACTTGTATCTTGCAATACAGCCTGGTTCCTTTGCACGCGTGGCCACATACCTGGTTGTGTGCTCCTGCTGTCGGGAAGTTAACTTTGGCAGTTCCTCTCACAAACACCAGCTCCCCACCGTAGTGCTCAAGTACTCAAGAGCAGCAGTGGCTTAGATAACCCGGTGCAACACAGACGCACGCCACCCTCGCGAGCATGGCTCTCTGCTCGTTATCTCACATCAGTAAAAACGGAAATGGTCTTAGGGCAAATTTGGGAAATGCTCCCTCCAATAGGTATAGCAGATATTTGTATTTTCCTAATCAGTTAAACCTTTTAAATGGCTACTGCTACAGCAGCTTATGCATTCGTCATTCGTTGTGCTGCACAGCAGAGCTATTTGCTAGGCTGCCACGGGATGGGGATCTGACAGATGTCAGCTGCTTTCCGATTAGCTACTCTAGTATTTCATCTTTTGTCAGCACTGAAGATAAGGACAACCACCGGCCATCCAGGACCGCCTTCTGCATTCACCTGGTACAGTGCACCCTACTATAAACCTCGGGATGGTGCAGCGTCGTGCGCACTTGGTGAATTCACCTAATCGTGGAATTCAATCTCTTTTGGGAGCCATTGCTTTTAGTTATCAAGAAAACACTAGCATATTGAATTTCCTCCCCAGTGGAGCATTTTTGAACGTGAAGGCATTTTTAACTAGACAGTAGAAAGGAGAACCAGACCAGAAGCAGGGCAGTGAGGTCATCAGAGAGCTGCTTTTCCCCCAGAAGGCTTTTAAATGATTAAATACATCAGCAGCTGAAAATTATTCCACATCAGAAGCATCATTGTCAGAAAGATGGTAATTACTGCCCTTCACCCGAATATACTCGATATACCTCCCTTCATCAGAATCTGACATACCACATGTACACAGCCTGTTTTCAAACAGAGATTCAATTTCCTCTAGTTTTTTCCCTTTAGTCTCGGGAAGGCAGCCGTAGATGAAAACCAGTCCCAGGCCAGCAAACCCCGCGTAGAGGAAGAAGGCTCCTGCAATGTAAAACAACACACACAGTTGGTTACAGAAGTTCCCGTCCCTTCTCTGCTCCGGAGCAGAGGGAGCAGCAGAAGCAGCAGGCTGCAGACATCAAAGGAGCGCGTAAAAGCAATGGTTGGAGCGGCACCGTTAAAATAACGAGCTGCGGGGCTGTGGGTGTAGGAGAAGGCAGCTTTATTGCATCACTCCACAATGGAGTAAATTAACAAAAGCAATTTCATTTCCCACAGAAGATAATACACATCTTTTCTGGACAAGTCATTCTGCTGTTAAAATAAACAGCAGTTAAACAGTTGCACACCCAATAAAAAAGCAGATACGAAAGGCAAGAACTTTCTTAGTTTATCTTGACAGCAAAGGACACACTAAGACAACCCCTCAGAATAAGAAACATTGGCAAAAAAGAAATAGGATTAAAATAATGCTTGTGACTCTTACACCTAATTATTATTTGAAAGTCTTCTGCAGAGACAATTAGCAGTGAGAAAGAGCTCGTTCCCCCTCCGCCACCCACCTTACCTAGCGGGTCAGAGAAGGTACCAAAGGACCAACACACATTTACCTGCCACGTGGTTCTAGACTGATGGCTCAAAGGAATGACGAGCAGAGCTGAAAGGCTCTGTACTAGTAATGATAGGAAGGTCACAACTCCCTAGCAGCTTAATGCAATTTAGATGACTTGCACTGGAGCAGCTGAACAGTAATCTGACAACCTCTCTGCGGGCTCCAGCAGGCAGGACTTGATAATCAACAGCTGGGAGTGGGGCAGCAGCATCTTACACAGCTATTTCTGCAAGGACCATCTGATATCGGCCTTGGATGCCAACATAAACTGGAAAATTGCAGACACTGTCTCCTTAAGTGAGAATCAGCATAAGTCAAAAGTGGGGTTTTTCCCAGCTTCCCTGTTTTAATCAACTGTCTAGGTTCTCGGTTAAGGACAGAAAGAAATGTTTCTTATGAAAGCCGGACCATATTCTGTGACCCAGGCAGGTCGTATCAGGTCTCGACCATGGTGGGTTGGGAACACTGCATTCACAGTTGACGTTTCATAGCAAAACCAACTGAGTGACCCAGAATCAGCAGAAAATCTATGCGCCAATGGTAGCACTGCCCACACGGACACACGCTGTTTCTTACCATAGTACGTCAGATATTCAGCCGTATGCAGAAAGGTCAGCGACACGAGCACGTTGAAAACCCAGTTGACTCCAGAGGAACATGCGTTTCCTGTACTTCTAGCCCAAAGTGGGTAAATTTCAGAATTGATGGTCCAGGGCATAGGACCCATCCCTACAAATTAGGAAAAAAGATCAATCTCAGTTTAATGGCTGGACTCAAGAGTATAACATGTAGCCTCACTAAACGACATTTTACCTTTACAATTTTTTAACTTATATATATAAACAAACATTTTCTTACCAGGTGCAAAGAAAACCAAGTATAAAATAAGGCCCAGAAGTGCTGTCCAAGAGTATGGAGTGGGGCAGAAATTGTATGCCCAGAACAAATCTTCCTTTTTGAATACTGTTTCATTTGAACACCTGAAAAATAACAATAAAACTTAGTATTAAAGAATTTTCAGGGAAATGGGTGACATCTCAATATAAACATGGCGCAAAATGTCTTATGAAAAGCTGACAAATGTAAAATTAAGATGAAAAAGCTCCATCCCTATTAATTTATCAAGATCTTTGAGCCAAGTCCTACATTCAGAAATGTGCTTTTTCCCAAGCCTGGTCTTAGGAAGAGTAACCAGCAGAGCAACAAGCTGCTGGTGTCTTAGGCTGATGGGCGCTCCAGTGGCCAGGCAGCGGCTGAGGCCATGAGCCTGTTTGTATCCAGGCACGAGGGATGTGTCTTTGAGAGAGATGTTCAGATGGCCTGTTTTCTGTGTGCTTTTCACCTCAAGACTGAAAATTAATCTGTATGTGCTGGAGGAGATGGGCTTTCTGGGGGAGCTCAGTAAAGCAGGAGTTGTGGTTTAACCCCAGATGGCAACTAGGCACCACCCAGCCCCTCACTCACCTCCTCCTGCTGCCACCGTGGGATGGGGGAGAGGACTGGAAGGGCAAAAGTAAGACAACTCATGGATTGAGCTATGTCCCAGGTACAGGACACACAGAAGACTGAAGTGTGCTGGAGAACTGTCCATAGGTTTAAACCAGCCATTCCCTACATGTTAAGCAAATGGTGGTTGAAAGATTAATTACTGAACACCTGGTGATCCCATTGCCACCTCCTGCTCGGCCCCATGTAGCCGCCCGCTCTGCATCTGCACCACTGCGAGATCGCAGGATTGCTCTGTTTCGCACCGTTTTAACAACATCACGTTTGCTTCTTTCGCTACTACTCTAATTTCATTTGCAGGTGTTTGGTAATGAATACAAGCTGATTAGCATTTTAAAACATCTTGACTCTGAGACTGGTTTCTCCATTCTGCCCAGCCAGCTCGGCAGCTCCTCAGAGAGGAGCCTCACGCTTTCTCCCGAACGCTACCGTAAACAAAGACGTACTTGGGTTATTATCTTGCATCCATCTCCATCAGCGCAAACCAACCTGCTGATTCACACAGACACAACCACCGGGAGGTCTGGATGTTTCCTTCCCCTACCATCTTTCCCCAGATGTGTCCTACTTTTGACAGAGTGGAACACAAATGATACAAGGGAAAACCAGATGTCTCCAAAGCCTCTTGTGGCTGAAGCCACTCATCTGTCCTTTGCTGTCTGCCCATAACTGAGAGGGAATTCTGTTGCAAGAAAGCAGATTCAGCGCATTGGAACAGGAAAAATTGCACTCGAGACTAGATTTAACAGAAACCTTGCAGTAATAAACTGTGCTTCGCCCATCCTTCAGTAGTAAACCAGCATGGTACACAGAGTAAAAGCAAAGGTCTCTGAATTTGGTGGCATCTCGTAGTGCTGGGCACACTCAAAAATAACACTCCTTCAAGGCTGGGGATTTGTTCAAGCTCTGTTACTGTGCTAATCCTACTGCTATATACTATTTCTACAAGATCTATTATTTTGCTGAAGAATATATTCATAATTACTGTATAATGCACTATCAAATAAAGTTCTGAATTTTGTCCTGCATGAAGATGATGGAAATTGGATGATTCCTCTACGATGGAAAGCGGACAAGCAGCTTCCCATCACTTCACAAGCTGAAACATGCAGAGGAAAATGCCCTGTAGACTGCTTACAAGTGAAATGATGCAGTCAGGTACCAGTGCAAAGAGTCTGTAAATACCATTATGCCGGGTAATCATCAGATCAGTATAAACAGTGAAGATACACCACATCATTTCCTCTGAAATTACTGCCAAAGTGAAAACTTGATAGTGCTACACTGAAAATCTTTACTGTGAATTTCTTTTGTAATGAATTTTCCACAGATAATTTAAGACTCACATCTGTTCTAATTAGTGAAAACCTGACCTTCCAACAATTGATGCGAACAATTCGACTGACTGGAAATAAATCAGAACAGCAGTAGATGTCTAAATTACGGGCATTATATGCTTGGTTTCATAATCACAGAATCCATCCTTTATGAGGTATGGTTGGTAGTTCAGAAGATCTAAAGCTTTGCTCCCCACCTCCTTAAATTACCTTCACATGGCACGTAAAAGAAGGCAAGAGAAGAAGAGCTGGCGTGGGTGGTCGAAAATGTTATTGCTAACAACTAGAGGATGAAAGAGGATAAGATAATTTCCTTGATAATCAACCTAAATTTTCCTAATACTTGAGCCAATTTGGCCGTAGAATAATTCTCAAGCGCAACACCGAAAGCCACAGGTAGGGAAATGGCTAGAGAGCACCCAGCACAGGCAAGTGAGTGCAGCACAAGGCAGGGACCCAAATTCAATTTTCCATTAATTTTTGCTTTGCTGTACAGTGAGGTCTGTGTAGCCCTAACGATATGGCTTACATGGGAATTAAATGTTTCATTCTGAACAGTTCATATATTTTTAATATGAAAGCTGCTGACTTCTCATTGTCTTTTAAGCCCCTCAGAAGCATCTTAAAAGGATTTAGATCAAAAGTCTTAAAAGGTCAAAATTCAAATCAAATCAGGCTAAGGAAATAAATTACTTCAAAAGAAAATCAGTAATGTGATCATTCATCTCCTTAAAATGCTTGTTAGAACAGGCATATTTCAAAATTACATATTCTGCTCCATGATAAGCTTTAACTTCAGGTGCTGATGGTACAGAAAGATTTTATATCTAATTCACAGTTTCACTAATCCCCAATTTCTTTGTTCGAAGAAGAGTAAAACTACGTTAAGGACTGTTCTTATGCCAGACTTTTGTGTCTGGGTTATCAAGATGACGATAATCTACAATTTACCAACTTAGTCTCTGATGTAACACAAATATATAATAATAAAAAGATATCTTTAAAGGTGATTTAAGTCTCCTGTGTAGAGTGCTGACTTTTATATCATGCCAATCCAACTGAACAATATAAATGTATGCCAAGCTTACTGACTCACCTTTTCACCTGAAGCCTGGTCCTGTAAAGGACAGAGGACCAAACAGATGTAATTCAGAGTAGCTGCTGTTTGGACTGAGAAAGCTTTTTGTGGAAGATGATTGGGAATAACTAAGATTATTTATCCTCAAGCAATTACTCATCCTGTGGAAGAATCTGGACCTTGACATTTGGGTTAGTTTCTACAACTTCAAGCCCTTCTTTTTCTGCTAAAGATATTTAGTTGTTAGAACAGACCCCTAAACTACCTTTACATTACTTAAAGGACAGAATTTTGCAAGGTACCAGATCAACTGTGTAATAATTTAGTGGTAGTCAGACATGTAACTAAGGAGAACTTTGGAAACCGCCTCTATCCTGTCCATCAAGTGACCTCTCTAATCCACCCATATACAGTCAAAACAGTTACATAAGCACAACCCATAGAAACCAGTGAAACCATAACGTACAGTTTCACTATAAACCAGTATATTCTGATGTAAAGCAAAATCTCTGCTCCCTTCAGTGCTTAATTTTTATATATACATATGGTGAGATGCTACCTGAAGTATCGAGCAAAGCACAACTCTTTCCTAAAGGCAAACAGATTAATTTAAACCCAACTAATGTCTGAATCAATACTTGCTAAGCTTCCTCGCAGTTCCCTAGCTACTGGCTGCTTCTGTGCCTCAGAGAAGACGCACTGTGGCTCCACGCCTCTCTGGAGAAGTTTGCATCTACCGCTTTGACTTTGTCGTTTACACAGAGAAATAACTCATCCATTAAACCAGATGTTGCTAAAAATATGCAGATGAAGCTTCTTACACCAGATGATGGCAATTGAAAAAAACTGAAAAGAACAAACAGATGCAGCCTTGAAAAAATGTACCCATAAAATTTCATGGTATTCAGCTAGACATTGCTTAACCTTCATTAAATAAAAATACCAGCAGCGTTTTGGGAGGCTCATTGAAGCCTTTTGCTATAACTGGCAAAGAATTTTTAAAATATTAGCACACACTTCAAAAATTTGGAAAAACAGTTTAGTTCATAGCGAGAGAGCAAATTGCACCTCAGCAGATTGCCGATGCATTTGCAGATGACTGAAAAGCAGTTCTTTATCACGCTGAGGCCCCCTGCCGCCGGCTCTGTCCGTTATACCTATAGAGCTGTGGGTGATATCCTGCACAAAGAACAGAAACCAGGGCGCTTTAATGGGTAACAGCTACAGTAATTGCCGCTGTCCAAAATATTTCAAAAAGTCTTAAACTAAGGAGACAAAGCCAGTTTCTTTCTCTATGCAACGCTTTCTATGCCAAGTAAGTTTAGGAGCAGCTACGAGGGCTAGAACAATACGAACAGGAAAATTATTCTCCTCAAGCTGAATGACTGGCACTTCGTACTCTGCATCTGGGAAACTGAAAGCACATATTTAAAGACAAATTAAAAAAAAACCAAACCCAAAACCCCAAACAACCCAGAAGCTTGCTTGCTTTGCCCATTATAGAGCTAAAGAGTTTAGAGATGCCTTCTTTATTGTGTGCTGTAGAGTAGGAACTGAAATTCTAATAAGGTTTTACGTTTAAATCAGCATTTCTTACTGATCTGCTTGGAGGCAGCACGCAACATATATATAAATAACTGTCAGTTATTCGCACTGAGCATCTTTTCCCTCACTGGCTGTTATCTTCTGATCCCTTTTTTACCTTGTTTCTTACAAAAGAAAGAGAGACTCTACAGACTGCTAAAATCTCCTAAAATCAATCACAAGGAATATTTCACTATAGCTCATACACACTATTAAATTTAAAAATTACTTAATATTTCATTTACCCAAGCAGAAGACCGTACTGAAATACTTATTTCATAGAAATACCTATCTCTAAGACATAACTGCCTTCTGTCATGCTTAGACAGGCGTACTCTTTGCTGGGTAAAATCTGACTGGATGGCCGCGCCCAAAGAGTTGTGGTCAACGGAAATCCAGCTGGCAACTGGTCACAGTGGTGTTCCCAAAGGCCCAGTGTTGGGCCTAGTTATGTTTAATATCCTTATCAACGACC